CCTAACCTAACCTAACCTATCTTTATAGGTTAGGTTAGGTTAGGTAGCCGAAAAAGTTTGGTTAGGTTAAGTTAGGTAGGCTAGGTAGTCGAAAAAACAATTAATTCATGAAAACTTGGCTTATTAGGCAAATCGGGCCTTGCATAGTAGGCTGAGAAGTGCGTTCTGGCTACTAGGTACGACATATATATATATATATATATATATATATATATATATATATATATATATGTCGTACCTAGTAGCCAGAACTCACTTCTCAGCCTACTATTCAAGGCCCGATTTGCCTAATAAGCCAAGTTTTCCTGAATTAATATATTTACTATAATTTTTTCTTATGAAATGATAAAGCAACCCTTTTCTCTATGTATGAGGTCAATTTTTTTTTATTGGAGTTAAAATTAACGTAGATATATGACCGAACCTAACCAACCCTACCTAACCTAACCAAACCTATATTTAGAGGTAAGGTTAGGTTAGGTAGCCAAAAAAAGCTAGTTTAGGTTAGGTTAGGTAGGTTAGGTAGACGAAAAACATTAATTCATGAAAACTTGGCTTATTAGGCAAATCGGGCCTTGAATAGTAGGCTGAGAAGTGCGTTTGGCTATTAGGTACGACATATATATATATATATATATATATATATATATATATATATTAGTATATTTTGGTAGCAGTCTTTCCTGTAGACATATATTATTAAATATGACCGAAAAAGTAAGATTAATAATTCTAACACGAATTTTCTCAATCTTTCGTACATTTCTTTTCACTGTTGGTGGTAATTCAAAAATCAATTCTCCAAAATTCATTTTTATTTCTAGTCTGACGCGACACTTGAGCGCGTTTCGTAAGACTTATTACATTTTCAAAGACTTTAGTTAAACATACACAACTGAATTGAACTTGTTTATATCTACATTTGAGAGAGGTGGATGAGGTGAGGTGGTATTTAATAGTGTAATAATTTCATCAACACAAGACAGAACACGAAACAATGGGTATTAAATAGAAGTGACTGTAGAAAGCCTATTGGTCCATATTTCTTGATGCTTCTATATTGGAGCGGAGTCTAGAGGTGGGTAGAATATAGTTGTGCAATAATTGACTGTTGATTGCTGGTGTTGACTTCTTGATGTGTAGTGCCTCGCAAACGTCAAGCCGCCTGCTATCGCTGTATCTATCGATGATTTCTGTGTTGTTTACTAGGATTTCTCTGGCGATGGTTTGGTTGTGGGAAGAGATTATATGTTCTTTAATGGAGCCCTGTTGCTTATGCATCGTTAAACGCCTAGAAAGAGATGTTGTTGTCTTGCCTATATACTGGGTTTTTTGGAACTTACAGTCCCCAAGAGGGCATTTAAAGGCATAGACGACGTTAGTCTCTTTTAAAGCGTTCTGTTTTGTGTCTGGAGAGTTTCTCATGAGTAGGCTGGCCGTTTTTCTGGTTTTATAGTAAATCGTCAGTTGTATCCTCTGATTTTTGTCTGTAGGGATAACGTTTCTATTAACAATATCTTTCAGGACCCTTTCCTCCGTTTTATGAGCTGTGGAAAAGAAGTTCCTGTAAAATAGTCTAATAGGGGGTATAGGTGTTGTGTTAGTTGTCTCTTCAGAGGTTGCATGGCTTTTCACTTTCCTTCTTATGATGTCTTCGACGAAACCATTGGAGAAGCCGTTATTGACTAGGACCTGCCTTCCCCTGCAGAGTTCTTCGTCGACTTGCTTCCATTCTGAGCTGTGGCTGAGAGCACAGTCGACATATGCGTTAACAACACTCCTCTTGTACCTGTCTGGGCAGTCGCTGTTGGCATTTAGGCACATTCCTATGTTCGTTTCCTTAGTGTAGACTGCAGTGTGGAAACCTCCGCCCTTTTCCAGTCTAGCGGAGTCTTGAGGTGGGTAGAATATAGTTGTGCAATAACACCAGCAATCAACAGCCAATTATTGCACAACTATATTCTACCCACCTCAAGACTCCGCTCCAATATAGAAGCATCAAGAAATATGGACCAATAGGCTTTCTACAAAACACTTCTATTCAATACCCATTGTTTTGTGTTCTGTCTTGTGTTGATACTTTTAATACCCTATTGATATCCCCTCTTGTTCTGTCTTGTGTTAATGCCACATCACCCCTCCACCTCACTCAAATGTAGATATAAAATCGGAGATACGTAAGTTCTAATCAGTTGTGTATTTGTGAACTAAAGTCTTTGAAAATGTAATAAGTTTACGAAACGCGCCCGTGTCGTGTCAGACTAGAAATAAAAATGAATTTTGGAGATTGATTTTTGATTTACCTCCAACAGTGAAGCGTAATGTACGAAAGATTGAGAAATCGTCGTGTTAGAATTATTAATCTTACTTTTTCGGTCATATTTAATAATAATATATATATATATATATATATATATATATATATATATATATATATATATATATATATATATATATATATATATATGCGAACAAGCCTGAATGGTCCCCAGGACAATATGCAACTGAAAACTCACACCCCAGAAGTGACTCGAACCCATACTCCCAGATGCCACGCAACTGGTATGTACAAGACGCCTTAATCCACTTGACCATCACGACCGGACATAATGAGGTGATAGCCGAGGCTATTTGAACCACCCCACCGCCGGCACTCGGATAGTAATCTTGGGCATAGCATTTTACCAAATCACCTCATTCTTTGGGGCACACGTGAGGAACACAAATGCGAACAAGCCTGAATGGTCCCCAGGACAATATGCAACTGAAAACTCACACCCCAGAAGTGACTCGAACCCATACTACCCATACTTCTGGGGGTGTGAGTTTTCAGTTATATATATATATATATATATATATATATATATATATATATAATATATTGTCGAAGATAGATGTAGATAGGAGATGCCTCGTATGGGCCAATAAGCCTTCTGCAGCCCCTATGTTTATCCCTTATGTATCCCCCATTTATATATATATATATACATATATATATGTATATATATATATATATATATATATATATATATATATATATATATGTATATATATATATATATATATATATATATATATATATATATTTATATATATATATATATACATATATATATGTATATATATATATATATATATATATATATATATATATATATATATATATATATATATATACATATATATATATATGCATATATATATATACATATATATATTATATATATATATATGTATGTATATATATATGTATATATATATATATATATATATATATATTATATATATATATATATATATATATATATATATATATATATATATATATATATATATATATATATATATATATATATATATATATATATATTAGTATATTTTGGTAGCAGTCTGCTGAACATGACCGAAAGAGAAATATTAATAACTCTAACTCGAATCTCCTCAATATTTCTTACGTTCTTCTTCACTGTCGAGGTTAATTGATAAAGTAACTCTCCAAAATTCATTCTTTTTATTCCTGGTCTGACGCCTGAATGCGTTTCGTAATTCCTTATTACATTTTCAAAGACTTAGGTTACACACAAAATACATTCATACTTATACTCGTTTTTGGTGAGGTGACATGGCACAAAAGTTTTGGGTGAGGTGAAACAGAAGACAGAACACGAAACAATGGGTATGAGAACATAAGAATGGAAGTAACTGCAGAAGGCCTGTTAGGCCAATAGGCCAATTTCCGCTTTCTCTTGCTGCTTCCATATTGGTTCGGGATCTTGAAGTGGGTAGAATATAGTTGTGCATTAATTGGCTGTTGATTGCTGGTGTTGACTTTTCGATGTGTAGTACCTCACTGATATCGAATCTCCTGCTATCGCTGTATTTATCAATGATTTCTGTGTTGCTTGTTAGGATTTCTCTGGTGATATTCTGGTTGTGAGAAGAGATTATATGTTCCTTGATGGAGCCCTGTTGTTTGTGCATAGTTAATCACCTAGAAAGAAACGTTGTTGTCTTGCCTATACGCTGAGTTCTTTGGGGCTTAGAGTCCCAAGCGGGCATGTGAAGGCATAGACGACCTTGGTGTCCTTCAAGACGTTCTGTTTGGTGTTTGGGGAGTTTTTCATGAGTAGGTTGGCCGTTTATTTTTGTTTTTGTAATAAATTGTTAATTGTATTTTCTGAATATATTTTTCTGTAGGGATAACGTTTCTATCAATAATGTCTTTCTGGGCCCTTTCCTCCGTTTTATGAGCTGTCGAAAAGAAGTTCCTGTAAAACAGTCTGATACAGGGTATAAGTGTTGTGTTAGTTGAGTCTTCAGAGGTTGCATGGCGTTTCACCTTTCTTTTTATGACGTCTTCAACAAAACCGTTAGAGAAGCCAATGTTGACTTTGACCTGCATTACTCTACAGAGTTCTTCATCGACTAGCTTCCATCCTGAGCCGTTGCTGAGAGCCCTTTCGACGTAAGCATTGACAATACTCCTCTTGTACCTGTCTGGGCAGTCATTATTGGCATTGAGGTCCATTCCTATGCTTGTTTCTTTAGTGTAGACTGCAGTGAGGAAGCCTCCGTTTCTTTCCTTGACTATTACATCTAGAAAAGGCAGTTTTCCATCATTCTCCATCTCGTACGTGATATTCTGTTCCAGTGGAACAGAATTCCACTCGAATGCCTCCTTTAGCTGCTGTAGACGTCTGACATCAGGTACCTGCATAAATGTTACCTGCAGGTATGTTGTCGTCAACATAGCTGCTGTATATGGCGGGTTTCAAGTTCATGGCAACTAAGACCCTTTGCTCGATGGTACCCATGTAGAAGTTCGCAAAGAGGACACCTAGGGGAGAACCCATGGCGACCCCATCCACTTGTTTATACGTGTGTGCCCATCTGGACTCAAGAACGATGCCTCTTTAGTGCAGGCTTGGAGTAGCTTCCTTAGAATGTTTTCTTGTATGTCAAGAGGAGTGCAAGCCGGATCACGATACACTATCATCCCGATGGTTTCATCCACAGGTACGTTGGTAAACAGTGACTCTACATCCAACGAGGCTCTTATCCCAGTGGCCTGTGCTTCCCGCAGAAAATCAACAAATTCTTTTGGGGACTTCAGGCTGAAAGCACAGGGTACACAAGGGGTCAGCAACCAGTTGAGTCGCTTAGACAGTCTGTATGTGGGTGTGGGTATCTGGCTGATGATTGGCCGAAGTGGGTTTCCAGGCTTGTGTGTCTTGACATTCCCTTACACATAACCAGGTTTGTATTCTCCAATAACCTTTGGCAGGTGGAGTCCGGACTTCTTGGCGTTCACAGTTTCAATCTGTTTACCTTCGTTTTCAATTCGGCTGTAGTGTCCTTCTTTACTCTTTGGAATTTAGTTTGATCAGAGAGTATGAGGTTCATTATTGTCAGATATTCGTCTTTTTTAAGAATAACATATATTGGCGAGTTGTCACCTCTCCTGATGACTATCTCCTTATTCTCACGAAGGCTCTTAGCTGCCGTTTTGAGCTCGTGGGACAGTATGGTGCTTCAGTAGTTACCTCGAGTCTTTACTCCTTCTGCAATAAGTTACGCTTGCAAGGTGTTTTTGGTGGTAACCTTCTTTTGCGTCTCGAGGTCGAATATGTCATCCAGTAGGCTCTCCAATTCCACTTTCCGGGCCATCTCATTTGGTCTGGATATAACGTTACAGTTTATACCCAGATTTAAGAGAGTGATTTGGTCCTCAGTGAGGTTGATTCCAGCAAGGTTTAAGAAGCCATCTCTGGGTCGTGGAATCGCCATAGGTCCTCCATATAATGTTGACAGTTTCTTGATGATCCTGGTTTCGGTGCTGTGGGGATTTCGATCTGTGAGGATGTCGAGGTGTTGGTCAATTCGAGAACGGAGGTCTTCGTCGATGTTGGTGTGTCTCCATTGGTCTGTAGCATGAAGTAGTTGCGTTTTGCTATCGTTGATCTCATTTTCTGCCTTGTGTATCTGATTTCGAATCATCGTGAAGGCTTGGTTTCTTGCTGCTGGGTCGTGCATCTTAATATTAGTATATTTTGATAGCAGTCTTTCTTAAAAACATATGTTGTTGAATATGACTGAAAGGGTAAGATTAATAATTCTAACACGAATCTTGTCAATATTTCTTACGTTCTTCTTTACTGTCGAGGGTAATTGATAAAGAAACTATTTAAAATTCATTCTTTTTATTCATGTTCTGATCCCTGAACGTGTTTCGTAATTCCTTATTACATTTTCAAAGACTTAGTTCTCACACAAAATATATTCATACTTATACTCGTTTTGGATGAGGTGATATCGACCCAGCCATCGACCCAACTATCGACCCAACCACCGACCCAACATCGACCCAAACCACTGACCCCAACCACCGACCCCAACCACGACCCCAACCACCGACCCAGCCACCGACCCCAACTACCGACCCCACAACCCGACCCAGCCACCGACCCAGCCACCGACCCAACTACCGACCCAACCATCGACCCCAAAACGGACCCAGCCACCGCACCAGCCACCGACCCCAACCACGGACCCCAACCACCGACCCCAACACCGACCCCAACCACCGACCCCAACCACCGACCCAGCCACCGACCCAGCCACCGACCCAACTACCGACCAACCATCGACCCCAACCACCGACCCCAACCACCGACCCAACCACAGACCCCAACCACCGACCCCAACCACCGACCCCAACCACCGACCCCAACCACCGACCCAACCACAGACCCAGCCACCGACCCCAACCACCGACCCCAACCACCGACCCCAACCACCGACCCAGCCACCGACCCAGCCACCGACCCAACCACCGACCCAACCACCGACCCAGCCACCGACCCAGCCACCGACCCAACTACCGACCCAACCACCGATCCAACCACCGACCCAGCCACCGACCCAACCACCGACCCAACTACCGACCCAACCACCGACCCAACCACCGACCCAACCACCGACCCAACCACCGACCCAGCTACCGACTCAACCACCGACCCAACCACCGACCCAGCCACCGACCCAACCACCATCCTCCCGAATACACGACGAAACCACAACGTTGCTACAACGTTCAAACAAGTTCTGGCACTTAAAAAATGGTAACAACTGTCTGACAAGTTGTAACAATTTTCCAACACATAATAAAAACTTTATAACAATATGTAACAAGTTGTAACAATATGGACCGTTACGTTGTGTGATTGTAGAGGTGCCCACCACTGGAGACTGTACAACTGTTCATGTACTGCTAACTATTGCTGACAGCACTATAGGGATGAATAATACCCTATTTGTTCAGACAATTAATTGGTTACTAATTGCCAATGGTTTACCAACTGTTACATTACCAACTGACTTATTCTTCTAATTCCTGCTCCTGTAACATCAACTATAGCATCTCCTGATCCTGTCACTTCAACTTCAGAATCCCATGATCCTGTAACAAAAAATACAGCAACTCCTGCCACCCAATCAACTGCAGCTGCTGTACGGACAAAATCCCTATATCATTTGTTTATTATGATCCACCACCACATCTTCAACAGAATCAAATTTCTTCAACGATGCTCCTTAACATGACGAAATAACTGCATCCACTGCCTATCCTGTATTTGTACTCTCTACTAAGCTTTGTTGACAGCTGAAGATCAAACGACTACTCTAACTGTTGACTACTTAATCAGACAAGAAAATAGCCAGTTCCTCAAGAATCTCAATCAACAATTAAATGATAAGAACACTTATCTCCAATATAAGTGACTGAAAATGTTTACCTCAAACCCTGTGACACAAGTGAAACTGGTGGCCAAAATGAAATGTTTCTGCTAAGGGGTCAATTTCCTGGACCCCATTTGGTAAACCCGAATGTTTCAGCTAAACCTTCATACACACTACTGGGGTCGGCCACAGCTTGGGCGAGTACAGCCTGAGGATGGGTAAGGGTCGGTCGTAGCTTGGGCGAGTACAGCTTGAGGATGGGTAGGGGTCGGCGCAGCTTGGGCGAGTACAGCCTGAGGATGGGATGGTTCACAATATACTACCACTCTCAGAATGAGTATGGGGTGTACATTACACTACCACTCAGAATGATCATGACGTGCACAATCAACTATGTTGCAATAAAATTACTAAGAGCAGTGGCTTAGGGCAGATGGAACGCCACGAACATATAAACAAAAAAAAATGATAAACAAATTAAAATACAACTGCTATGTTGACTTCTTCACAGTGTAGTAAACGCAGGATAAAACATAGGGAATGGAAAAATTTAAATACTTTAATAAGGACAAATTAACTTTAACAAATAACAATACTGAAAATAGTTCCTTAAGAAACTTGGCTATATTACAGGGTGAAAAAATATTAAACAAAACAATCAAACAGACAAGTTAACGTTACGTAAGAGAACAAGAAATAAATGGTGCTGAAAATACTGAATACTAAGCCGTGTGAATCTACCATCACCCAAGGTAGCGTGAAGGCAGAGATGCCCAGCAATGGAGCACTGAGAATATTCTGACTTAATGATTGATAAATGACGAAGATTAAGCCACCCAAAATGTGGCACAAGCATGAATACCGCGTAAGTGGTGGGCCTTTGGAGCCATTAGTAGTATCATTAGCTGATACTGGAGATCTGTGGAGGTGCGACTGCACCCTACGCAGAGGTCGTGACCTCTCTGACTAAGTGAGCTGGCTAGCTTCTATACATACGGAAAAACGGCCGTCCAGGTGGCGCTGGTGTCTCGATAATGGCAAGCCGGCAGGTAGAAACAATCGAGGTGCTTGTTCACCGGCGAGCGAGCCTTGCCGTCGCCAGGTGTGATGGGGTCATGGGTACTGCAGAGACGTTACTTGGTGGAACAGGTGATGATGGAATAACCTGGGGTGCACAATAAACTACAACTCACAAAAAAGAGTATGGGGCGCACAATAAATACCACTCACAGAATGAAAATGGTGTGCAATGATGAGGTGCACAATTACCCACAATCACAGAATGAGGTGCACAATGAATGAGGTGCGGAATGAGGTGCACAATACACTACCACTCACCACTCACGGAATGAGGTGCACAATAAACTACCACTCACGGAATGAGGTGCACAATCAATTACCACTCACAAAATGAGAATAGGGTTCACAATAAACTACCACTCATGGAATGAGGTGCACAATAAACTACCACTCACGGAATGAGGTGCACAATAAACTACCACTCACGGAATGAGGTGCACAATAAACTACCACTCACGGAATGAGGTGCACAATAAACTACCACTCACGGAATGAGGTGCACAATAAACTACCACTCACGGAATGAGGTGCACAATAAACTACCACCACATAATAATCACAGGGATGCATAATAAACTAGCCGTCGTTGGCTCAAATAATCAGATCAATAACACACAGAAATCACAATAGCATGATGCATCAAATGAACAAATCCACTAGGGCCGTGACGAGGATTCGAACCGACGTCACGGCAGCGTATGGGATACTCTTGGACGTCTGTTCGAATCCTCGTCACGGGCCTTGTGAATTTGAACAAATCAATAATTTTCCAATTTGCCTTTCCTAAAACTTTGACGTCTCAGCCTCGAGTCAAGTCTTTAGATCAGACTTCAAGACAGCTCCACTATGTCTCTTCCTGAGCGCCGCTAATATTAATATATACAACAATAACAGAGAAACGAAGGTCCACAATACAACGCTCTCCATCACTAGGGCCACAGATTTATCTATTCCCTGGACTTCGATAAATTCACTAAGCTGTGAGGCTCTCTTGTGGGGCTCCAGAGTGCCGCCAGCACTCTAGAAGCCGCAATAGACTACAGGATTTTCAAGGAAGATTCCTTCCATAGTTGCTGCTTCGTCGTTGCGAAAGAGGAAGTATTGTGCACCCCATACTCATCCTTTGAGCGGTAGTGCATACAAGGTTTACAGCGGGCACAAAAGGTCTTAATCAGACCTCAACGGAGGTTATTACATAAACAGTTAAATCTATTGTGCACGCCTTATAATTATAATGTTAGCTAGTAACAGAAATTGTTACATTTCAATAGCTAAGTATTTACAGTTAATCATTATACTTAATGGTATGTCTTTTCGGTATTACATATTTGTTTGAGATGGAAATCTTGCAAGGTCTTAGGAAAGCTGCTATTTGTTATTATTAGTGTTCCCAATACACTACTTGCTTCTTAATCTCATATATCATTTATCTACTTGAAGCGAAATATGGATACAGTGCCAGGATTTCAGATAATCTATCTTGAGTAATAAATAAGATGGTTTGCCATTTCATGCAGTGTGAGTTTATATTTATCTCTAAATGGCTCAATTTTATTACAGTAAGATATAATAATCCAAGGTGTGTCCCTGTCTCTGTCCACACACTTTACTTCATCTAGATCCCTATACAAGCCGAACTGCCAGAGATACTTGTAGCCAAGTAGTATACGATCTGTGACTTCGTCTGCTAGTCTGCTGATTTTGTTACTTACCCCATACACTTGATTTGCTCCATACATGTCATTGTGATGAACAATGGACCTGCTAGTTCCAGTTTGCACTGTTCTGCTTTCTTTAGTTTCATCCAAGAGTTTTCGTCTAATGACACTTTTAAGGGACATATTTGATAACTCAAGATTCAGTTCAACATTGTCTTTAATTACTGCAACCTTAACAAGAGCGTCAACTTTATCATGTTCCTGCAGGTCAATGTGAGAAGGGATCCACAACACTTTGATATTTACCGCCTTATTAAGAATGTGCATGTATATCTTCAGAGACAGGCACGTTACAAAAATAAGTAAGCTTTCTACTTTAGTGTTGTCAATAATTTGGAGTGCTACCAGTTCAACTTGCAAGGTGGATGCCCAGTTATTATCTCTCACATTCACTTAAATTATACTTCCATCAGGCTGATGAACAATTACAGCATTTCCTGCTTTCCCTTGTAGTCGTATTGAGTGATCCGTCAGTGTATATGGGATGTGTGTGATGTTTTTTTATGTGAGTACAAATATTTATCTCTATTCATTGCATTTTCCTTGTGTTGATTTCATTATCAACCATCTGACTACAGTTGTCTTGCATTGCCTGGAACGGGCGTGAGGAACGAATCGAGGAAGCACTAGAGCCAGTTTAAGGTGAGAGCTGTTTGTGTGATTCTGTAATTCTTCGCTGCGTGTGTATGTGTTACACGTAACTCCTCATTTAGCTATTTTATACTGATAGTGCTTCAATTGTTCGGTGTAATTATACCGATACGTATTATCATAGTTTCTATGTGATGTTCTGACTCGTTTCAGAGACCCAGTAAGAATAAGTCACTTTAATGAGTGCTCTCTGGGTCATACCCGAGTTAATTATTGCGTTGCTTCTCATGTGAATAATTTTGTGTGCTATGTTTATATATGTACAGTGTTGTACCTTGTGATTATTAATTATTGTGAATTAAAGTGTCAATTGATACCATGTTCTGAATTCGTGATAATCAATAAAATAATCTTTAATTATTTTATTGAGAAGTCATTGAACTAAATTTCTTGTTTTGACAGCAGTCCTTGTGACAGTGTATTTAACGTAATTAGTAAAATGTCAACTAATTCTTGTTTAGCAAGCTGTCCATGTGATAGCGTAATTATTGTAATTCAGCTTGACTGATTTACTGTCCGTGTGGTGTAAATTAGGTCATTACTCACTGATTGTTTAATTGTCTTAGTGATTGAATATTTACTGTGAAGAATTAGTTTTGATTATTAGCTGAGTGGCAGGTTGTACTTAACGTAAATTATCATTGATAACTGTCTAGGTGACAGTAATTAACGAAATTAATTTAATTATGTAATGTATATTTGATTGTAATCAATTGTTCTGTCTGTGTGATAGAACTCTAACGTAAGCCGTTGATTGCCTTTGATTGATTGCCGTCCAAGGGGTGAGTGTTAACATAATTAATTTGATTTATCAAAATTGTCTCAGTAACAAACCTTGCTTTGCTTTGATTGTTTGTTATTTGTTTTGATTGTTCCAATTGTTTGGTATTGCATCACATTTGATTGCAATAGGGTCTAGGGTCTAAGTGTATACAAGTGTTCAGTTAGTTCATTTTTGTCCTGCCTTGCCCATACAGGAGGGCTGAGACGTGTTCTCCCATATACCAGCCAAGAACGATAGCATAGTAGTCCTGCTGTACTGGTTTGGATTAGCTGTCACAGTGTCACTCAGGACATTAACGTAACGTTAAAATTTTTGTGCTGGGAAATAGTAAGTTTTGTAATAAATTTGTTTATTTGCCAAAAGAGTCTTTCATATCAACACCTTTCAAGAGTATTGCCCCCATAACTTGTGTTGCTACAAACTAATACTAAATTTTGCATTTAATGAGTGTCGGCCCCTGGATTTGAATTTAATCATAGCCCAAACACTGAATGCAATAAATTTGGCGTGAGAACCCAGTGCTACCCTCATGATTGCTACAAGCAATTGAGGAGTCGACGACCTGATTTGGAGTATCAGGTAACTTAACTCTGGCATCTGCTCTCACCTTAATTTCAGTTGGAGGTTGTAATCTAACATCTGGCACTAAACGTGTTGGTTTTTGTGTAGTCCTTCTGGCTGAAGTAAAATCTCACACTCGGGCTCATATTTGTTATACCAGTTTTAAGTGCAGTCTATACCAAACATTTCTTGATCTGTTCTTACCGTCAGCCTTCGTCTTTCCAGCTTAGTGCCAGGTAGGTTAACCCTACACTCATGCATGTTGGCTGTTATGGCTAAATAGTCAGACTTTTAATTTGCAGTTTTCAATTTGCAGTCTCCGTGGTGTAGTGGTAAGACACTCGCCTGGCGTTCCGCGAGCGCTATGTCATGGGTTCGTATCCTGGCCGGGGAGGATTTACTGGGCGCAATTCCTTAACTGTAGCCTCTGTTTAACGCAACAGTAAAATATGTACTTGGATGAAAAAACGATTCTTCGCGGCAGTGAATCGTATTCCAGGGACCATAGGATTAAGGACTTGCCCGAAACGCTACGCGTACTAGTGGCTGTACAAGAATGTAACAACTCTTGTATATATCTCAAAAAAAAAAAAAAAAAAAACTTTAAGTCATCCGCAATACGATTTCTGTGGGAACCGACCTGTGAGATTTATATTTATTAAATTTATATGAATTTATATAGATTTATATTTACATTAATTTATATATTTCAATAGCAATTTGTACGATGTTTAGTGGACTGTATTTCTGCAATTATTCTCACAAATTGATCCTTACATGTGTGTATATATATATATATATATATATATATATATATATATATATATATATATATATATATATATATATATATATATATATATATATATATATATATATATATATATATATATATATATATATATATATATATATATATTTATATGCAGCCAATCAAACTTCAGTATTAAACTACATATATTAGTAAATAAATTTTGACGGTGCCTTATCTTATGTATGGTAGGCCTAGTCCACCAGGTATAACTATGATGTAGACACTAAATAATCCTCGTGCGAAGCTAGCATCCAACACCTCAAGTAACTTATGCACCAAGATTAATTCTTGCTTCCTCTTCTTGTTCCTGTCAAAGGGCACTAGCTGTAAAGCCAGAATCCTAATATATGACTCCTATATCAGATGAAACCTTTATATATTATTAGATAAGGACCAAGGCTTAATTACCTGGGTTGAGTCGTTCATTCGTGTCGTAACCGGAATTAATCATATCTAGCTAACATTACTGGCCAATAATGACTTAGATAAGATTTCGGAAAGACATTTCCCTTGTGGTTGTTGACAACGTGTTGATGATGGTAGAAGCGCTAATTTGATATCCATAACACTTTGTCCAAGAGAATTATAGGAGCGGAATTGGCTCCAACGACTGGTCTTTTTTAACAATGCCTGACCTCCCACCACTGACGCTCCTGGCTCTCTTTGTCCAGATGTTAATAAGTGATAGAAGGGTCACATTTACTCTATTTGGGTACTGATAATTAAGTTAATTCAAATGAGATGTTTTTATGATGTTATATGTCCAAAGACTACTGTATTTAAGAATAATTCCCAACAGAATAGCTGGTGAATTTATAGCGCTATGTGGTAATATCCCGTTTTCTATTGATGGAAAATCCACTACAAGCTACATTTCCTATGGGTTAACTTGTGTATACAACAGTAACAATATTATATGCCTGTTGTATTTAATATTAGTAAATGTCGGGTTTTCCGACAATTTCTCATGAGCTGTGTATGACAGGTTACAGCCAATACACCTATCTGGCACGCCTCCATATATTTGCGTTGGCTGAATCTTACTGATCATCAGATGCATCGAGAAATGCCATCGATCTTCTACCATTGGTGTTTGTGAATTGATCACATAATTGTTTGGTGTTGATTGCAGTCATACCCTAAGAGATCCTAGAGGCTCCTTGATGTCACCACCCTTACACAAATTGTTAGCGCAAGAGTGGATTGAGAGAGGCTACTACATGGTCAAAAGGATTGCAACCTTAGGTACTACTGCACCTATGAGGATTCTTTGAGGCTTCGACTGAAGCCAAACAAGGGTGTGACACATGCCTGCCATGCTCTCTGGCTCTGTTCCTTAAGAATGTTCTACCTCTATCGTTCCACTTTCAATACAGAGGTGAATGGCTCAAAAAGAGAGTAGTCACACAAATGTGATGCATCAATGAGAAAAGAAAAATAAGTAAAAGCTGTAATGAGGGTTCGAACCTATGCGGTGGGTGTTCCCACGCACATGCTTTAGTCGTTTCCAGCGTGTGCCTGGTGAACCCGCAATACCAACGGGCACCGAAACGCTCCACCTCTTATAGCTCCTTACACTCAAGTGAACTCCTCGCCAATCACAGGCACACAGCTCCATCCATGTCACAGCTCAGCTTCCTCCCATTGGCTATCTGTGACATCATTCATGTATCTTCTCGTGCTAGCAGCTGGCTTAATGTTCCAGAAGGCTCCATAATAGTCTTCGAACCAAAACACTTGTTTGTAAAAATATGTGTCTCCTTGCACCACCTTCTAGCTTTCCCACAAAGAAAAGGATTACATGCCAGCTCTAATGAACGTAGAGGCGGAATAAATCACACACAGGTGAGGTGAATCTTAAGATGGACTGGGAGAATGGGATGGGAATTAAGATGGATTTACCATCCCTAATTAATCCCTAAATAAACCTAAGACGTATCAGTAATTGTCACGGTATCGACAGCGTTGATGGAGTATGGAGTGGCGATTTCAGCACCATCTATGGGTCTACACTGCAACTTCGATAAGTCTCTGGTATTGGGTGCTACGCAGACATTACAATCTGTTGGTGGTGACGTGGCATCTGTGAAAGGCTCCGGTTTCCATCCTCAGTTAGAAGAGGAGGTCGATGAGGATGATTACCTCTGGTGGGTGGCGTATCGAAATCAATGCCATCTAGGTTGTGGCTAGAATTTACAATGTCAATTCCTGGTGGAAGGGTGTTATCCTAGGGTCACCCAGTATACTGTCTGTGTAGGTAATGTTTTACCTACACAGTGGTAATAATGACGTTAAGGAGGCATATGCGTCGAGGAGAGCAAGTGACCTTGGGCAGTCCAAGAACTCTTGAGTTGGTCCTGGGAGAGGACAAAGTGGCCGCCGTCGGTTATAGCAGTGTGTTAGCTGCTGGTTTATGCAGTATGTTAGGTGCTGGTTTATGCCACGTGTTAGCTGCTGGTTTATGCATTGTTGGATGGGCCGACGTACCCGGGATTGGCCAGGTAGAGTTACGAGACGACAGTGGTGCGTCTGTTGAGAAGTGCTTCTAGCAAGCTGCTATTGACTTCTGCCAGGGTGCTAGCTACTCCTGTATTTGATTGTTTGAGACACCTGTCAGCGTGTTGCTGAAACCCTCTGCCAGTGTGTATATGGAGAGCAGAGGTGAGGGGGATTGGCACATCGTGACGATACGGTGTGTGTGGACTGGCCCATGTAGAAGAAGAAGAACTCACCGGTGTTTGCTATTGGGTGTGGACGATGTGTACCTGGAAAGTGGATTCACTGCTATTTGATGAACACTGCTGATGTATTGTGTCATGAGTGAAAGCAACACTTTATAAATATGATGTGTAGCAATTCTCATATATATATAAGTATATATATATATATATATATATATATATATATATATATATATATATATATATATATATATATATATATATATATATATGTCGTACCTAGTAGCCAGAATGCACTTCTCGGCCTACTATGCAAGGCCCGATTTGCCTAATAAGCCAAGTTTTCCTGAATTAATATATTTTCTCTAATTTTTTTCTTATGAAATGATAAAGCTACTGTAACACCCACGACCTCCTCCCCCCCTTAGAGTTCACACGCAGGGAAGCCTTCTCCAAGAGGTCAGCCCAGATGACCTCTGGTTTATCTTGTATATTGATTAAAAATTCCTGGGTTAGTCTTAGTCAGCATAGTTTCAAGTATGTAATATTTCAGGCAAGGGAATTAGACTCCAGATTCTTAAGTGTAAACATCCCTGGATCTCCTCCTTTTGGCCAGGTCAGAGGTCAGTCACACACGTAATTAATAACTCCTCTCTTGAAGAGTGTATGGTGAATGTCAAACAAGCTTATTGAAATATTTTTTAAGTGTTTGTGCACGTGTGGCCCGACCCCCCTAGCATTTCTGACCTGGGTAGCAACAGCATATCTCCCCCTCCCCCCTGTGGGGGTTGTATATAGAGGTCCTGTAGGGACTTAGTAAGGACAGAGTGCCGGACACCGGGGTCCAGAGAGGGCTGTGAAGAACATCTCAGCCAGGGAGAGACAGGTCTTAAGGTAATGTGTGTGATCTCTGAAGTTTTGTTCCATGTCCAAATTTCTTAACTTTTTGCCAGTGTTAGAGTAGGATTTATAAGTGGTGATTGACATAATTTTGGTCTTTAATAAACTCATGATAAATTTCCCGTCTGTGTCAATTGTTGAATCCTCTTAGCCTTTTGGATATAGTGGCTGACAACCATTTTCATAAGTTATAGAAAGTACTCTCCAAGTCAAGCAATGTTTCTTGCCTCCTTGCTTGATATAGTTTCAATGGTCAAAGGCAGATGGTGGCAGCGTATTTAATCCTTGTGTTAGCATTTCCTTATTGGCAGTGTATCTTTTGGGTCCGGTGAAACCATCATATGTCAGCTCACATTACCGTGTTTCATAACAGTGTTATCAAGTGCAACCGATGGGGAAGTATTACTCAGGATAAGTAGTGTTTACATTATAGTTTAATGTTCCATTATAATGGTGTTCCATTATAGTGGTGGTACAAAAGGGTGGTGTTACACTACCCATTTCATTATGTTTGAGGTCAATTTTTTTTATTGGAGTTAAAATTAACGTAGATATATGACCGAACCTAACCAACCCTACCTAACCTAACCTTACTTTATAGGTTAGGTTAGGTTAGGTAGCCGAAAAAGTTAGGTTAGGTTAGGTAGGTTAGGTAGTCGAAAAACCATTAATTCATGAAAACTTGGCTTATTAGGCAAATTGGGCCTTGCATAGTAGGCTGAGAAGTGCGTTCTGGCTACTAGGTACGACATATATATATATATATATATATATATATATATATATATATATATATATATATATATATATATATATATATATATATATATATATATATATATATATATAATATGACTGAAAATAGTAAGATTAATAATTCTAACACGAATTTTCTCGATCTTTCGTACGTTTCTTTTCACTGTTGGTGGTAATTCAAAAATCAATTCTCCAAAATTCATTTTTATTTCTAGTCTGACGCGACACTTGAGAGCGTTTCGTAAAATTTATTACATTTTCAAAGACTTTAGCTTACACATACACAACTGAATAGAACTTACACATCTTCGATTTGTTTATATCTACATTTGAATGAGGTGGATGGGGTGAGGTGGTATTAATAGGGTATTAAATTCCTAAACACAAGACAAAACACGAAACAATGGGTATTGAATGGAAGTGATTTTTGTTTAAGATTATATTAATATGCATATTACGATATGCTTAAGATTATAGAAACTTTATATGCTAGATATGTAACACGGTTCTATAACTCGCATATCGTTGCCCATGGGTTAGGACGAACCACCAAATATCTGCCCAGAGATCTATCAGTTTTTTGTTTTTTATTTCACTGTTAACTCAATTTCAGGGATTCAGAATATTGTATGTATCTTAATCTCAATATATTTTGGGCAAAGTGATAACCCAAAATCTTTAGTGTCAAAAATGTTGGATTTCTTTCTGGCTGCTGAAACTGTACGATAAGTTGGCCAGCTGTTGTTTATATTCACTCTGCTCTGTTGGGTTTATCTGCGCAAACTTACGGCGAGGAGCCAGACAAACATTGTGGGGAGAAGCAGGGAGCCACCTAGACCTTGATGGGAGAGGCGGGGAGCAACATAGACCTTGCGGGGAGAGGCGGGGAGCTATCTAGACCTTGCGGGGAGAGGCGGGGAGCTACATAGACCTTGAGGGGAGAGGCGGGGAGCAACATAGACCTTAAGGGGAGAGGCGGGGAGCTACATAGACCTTGTGGGGAGAGGCGGGGAGCCACCTAGACCTTGAGGGGAGAGGCGGGGAGCTACATAGACCTTGTGGGGAGAGGCGGGGAGCTACATAGACCTTTTGGGGAGAGGCGAGGAGCTACATAGACCTTAAGGGGAGAGGCGGGGAGCTACATAGACCTTAAGGGGAGAGGCGGGGAGCTACATAGACCTTGAGGGGAGAGGCGGGGAGCTACCTAGACCTTGAGGGGAGAGGCGGGGAGCCACCTAGACCTTGAGGGGAGAGGCGGGGAGCTACCTAGACCTTGTGGGGAGAAGCGGGGAGCCACTTAGACCTTGAGGGGAGAGGCGGGGAGCCACCTAGACCTTGAGGGGAGAGGCGGGGAGCCACCTAGACCTTGAGGGGAGAGGCGGGGAGCCACCTAGACCTTGAGGGGAGAGGCGGGGAGCTACCTAGACCTTGAGGGGAGAAGCGGGAAGCCACCTAGACCTTGAGGGGAGAGGCGGGGAGCCACCTAGACCTTGAGGGATTGATTGTTGGTGTCAGAGGCTGCCAGCTTATTGTGCACCCTATACCCATCTTGGAGCGGTAGCGCAAAAAGTATTACAGATGGCACGAAAGGTCTTAATTAGTCCTCAGTGCAGATTTTTACTTTAATAATTACATACAACCTGTATATCCTATAATTATATTATCAGCAAGTTACACACACAAAACATTATATATGTGTATTTACAAAAATTCTTATATATTAATGGTAGGTCGGTGAGGTGGTGAAGGGTAGGGAAGGTGGTGAAGAGTAGGGAAGTTGGTGAAGGTTAAGGAAGGTGGTGAAGGGTAGGGAAGTTGGTGGATGGTAGGGATGGTGGTGAAGGGTAGGGAACGTGATGAACGGTAGGGAAGGTGCTGAAGGGTAGGGAAGGTGGTGAAGGTTAGGGAAGGTGGTGAAGGGTAGGGAAGATGCTGAAGGTAGGGAAGGTGGTGAAGGGTAGGGAAGGTGCTGAAGGTAGGGAAGGTGGTGAAGGGTAGGGAAGGTGCTGAAGGTAGGGAAGGTGGTGAAGGGTAGGGAAGGTGCTGAAGGGTAGGGAAGATGCTGAAGGTAGGGAAGTTGGTGAAGGGTAGGGAAGGTGGTGAAGGGTAGGGAAGGTGCTGAAGGGTAGGGAAGGTGCTGAAGGTAGGGAAGTTGGTGAAGGGTAGGGAAGGTGGTGAAGGGTAGGGAAGGTGGTGAAGGGTAGGGAAGGTGGTGAAGGGTAGGGAAGGTGGTGAAGGGTAGGGAAGGTGGTGAAGGGTAGGGAAGTTGGTGAAGGTTAGGGAAGGTGGTGAAGGGTAGAGAAGGTGGTGAAGGGTAGGGAAGATGGTGAAGGGTAGGGAAGATGGTGAAGGGTAGAGAAGATGGTGAAGGGTAGGGAAGATGCTGAAGGTAGGGAAGGTGGTGAAGGGTAGGAAAGATGGTGAAGGGTAGGGAAGATGGTGGATGGTAGGTCACTATATATTTTACCATTCTACCATGAGACCATTCATTGGTCTCATGGTAAAATTATTTACCATGAGACAAGCCGCTGGCTTTCACGTCATAGAGCTTGCTACGTTTCCTGTGTCGAGCCAAAATCCACCCTCGATATTCCCCGACATTTTCAGATTCAATAAGATTACGCAAGCGAATAAACTCGTCTCGTGTTAAACGACCTTTCGGTGATTCAAGAAACGGTCTCCACCTCCTCGTGAATTGCGTTAAGAATTGTCGCCTGCGCTTTTGCTCGCGCTGGTAGAAATATTTTTGGCAATGATGCCAGCCCGAGTCAGACCCGGGATTCATCAAGCATTTCCCTAACCATTTACGAAATCTGTTGATTTTGTTTTTTTAACCTGGGCAACTTTACTTAC